ACTGACCAAGCCACCGTATACCGCTCAACTACACTACCAGCCCGAACTATACCAACTCTCCAGCCATGTTCAGCACGTGGGATCTCGTCCGACCGCGCTTCTGGTACCCCATGTCGTCTCTGGAGCAGTCCATGATGGACCTCGAGCACATGAGCAACCTCATGAGCCGCTCGCGCTTCCCCTTCGACATGGGCAGCGAGATGCTGGCGGCGCCCAGCAATGTTGACGACGACGAATTCTTCCGGGATCTGCCTGTGCTTTTGCGCGAGCAGAGACCGGCGACGCAGCACCGCGAGGTCGCTACACAGCCGACAGAAAAGGAGACCGATAGCGTAGCGCACGACCCGACTCCGACCCGTGATAACGACCCGAACAAACAGACCGTCAAGGCCAAGGTCACCACTAGCACGAAGGCATCGAGCAAGAAGCAGAAGCAGCAGTCCGACAACTCTGACAGCTCGAATGTCGATGCCGACAGCCAGTACCGCCGCGCCTTCTCGTCCTACACGTTCAGCAACACGTCCATCGTGGACGACAAGGGCCGGCGCGTGACAAGTTCGCGGCGCCGCTACGAAGACTCGACGGGCCGTCTGAAAGCGGTGCACGAGCGACAGATCGAGGGCAAGAAGCTGCGTACGACGTGGAACCGCATGCACCCCGACGACGAGGGTCAGCACGAAGCCATCTGCTCGAGCGGCACGCCCGACGAGTTCGAGACTCTGTGGCAGCAGACGCCGTTTGGCGAGACGCAGAAGAAGACGATCAAGGACCAACAGTGCAGCAACAGCTGCAACCAGGACAACAGACCAAGACGCTGCAGCAGCAACAGCCTTCGGAGTCGGAGGCGGAAAAGGAGGCAACCCCGAAGGAGGAGTAAACTGTAGTTGTGATATTTGTTATTTTCTACGAGTCATTAACGTTACCTACGTCAATATTCTTGCACTGATTTCGCTTTCGTCGTCCAACTTTTTCGATAATAAACATAATGAAAAGCTTCCATTATTACTCTACTGTATAGTTTAACGAGTACTTTTGCACAGCAGTACGGTTCTTCATTGTTTACGTGGATCGAAACGCTTCCTTACAGCTTCTCGAGACAGATAAACTGTAAGGAAGCGAGCTTTAAATTTACGAAGTTTACTGGTGGATATACGTTTGTAAGAGAAATAAACCAAAGCAAAGTACGGTAGTACATCCTCATAAAAAACTACGATCTGGATTTGGTTACGATAAATTTCCTGGTCATGAGGCAGTCAGGCTATGTTCCAAAAGGCTGGTACGCTTGGTTTCCAAACTTCCAGCTTGCTAAAGTTGATGATGCTCACGCGAAGCAGCATCTGCTTCATGGGTGGTCGTGACACGTGCATCGAGTATGCGAAGCTGCATCTGCTTCACGGGTCGTGACTCGTGACTCGTAACTCGAGCATCGTGCATCGTGCATCGTGCATCGATCCAGAGACAAACCGAGTTCATAGTTATCTTTCCAACAGTATCCTGTTAGGGTACTTCGCTTCTGGTCGAGCTAATGCTCCCACGTGTAAAAGAGCCGCCAGATAGCCTGCGATAAGAAGATTCTTAAAAAAAATACCATTTAGAGAACGGCTACTTTACCGAATTGACCGCTAAGCCTAACGAATAGCAGACAGTAATGGTACCAGATTTTACCTAATACATTCAAGTCGAGGCTCTCCTTTTCTATATTTCTGATTTGGCAAGCCCTTCTAGAATGATCAATCGCTTCTAGAATCTGACAATTGCGCATCTAGCTTTTTTAGAGCTGGCAAAAATAGTACTCGGCCAATAGAAATGGGTTGTTTTATTGCTGTTCTGCCAAATATAATAATTCTAGCTGGTCATAGATTTCTACCGAATATTCTGACCACTTCTAAAATTTTCGAGACCCTTTTTTATCGGCTACGTTGAAGTGGAAGATCGCAAGACTCCGCTAACTCCGACTGCGTTACCACGTCATTTCTGAATTTGCCATCTACTGCTTACAGCGTGCAAACAAGCAACCAAACGTCAAAACCAAGGCTAACCAAGCCACCGTATACCGCTCAACTACACTACCAACCCGAACTATACCAACTCTCCAGCCATGTTCAGCACGTGGGATCTCGTCCGACCGCGCTTCTGGTACCCCATGTCGTCTCTGGAGCAGTCCATGATGGACCTCGAGCACATGAGCAACCTCATGAGCCGCTCGCGCTTCCCCTTCGACATGGGCAGCGAGATGCTGGCGGCGCCCAGCAATGTTGACGACGACGAATTCTTCCGGGATCTGCCTGTGCTTTTGCGCGAGCGACCGACGACGCAGCACCGCGAGGTCGCTACACAGCCGACAGAAAAGGAGACCGATAACGTAGCGCACGACCCGACTCCGACCCGTGATAACGACCCGAACAAACAGACCGTCAAGGCCAAGGTCACCACTAGCACGAAGGCATCGAACAAGAAGCAGAAGCAGCAGTCCGACAGCTCTGACAGCTCGAATGTCGATGCCGACAGCCAGTACCGCCGCGCCTTCTCGTCCTACACGTTCAGCAACTCGTCCATCGTGGACGACAAGGGCCGGCGCGTGACAAGCTCGCGGCGCCGCTACGAAGACTCGACGGGCCGTCTGAAAGCGGTGCACGAGCGCCAGATCGAGGGCAAGAAGCTGCGCACGACGTGGAACCGCATGCGCCCCGACGACGAGGGTCAGCACGAAGCCATCTGCTCGAGCGGCACGCCCGACGAGTTCGAGACGATGTGGCAGCAGACGCCGTTCGGGGAGGCGCAGAAGAAGACTATCAAGGACCAACAGCGCCAGCAACAGCTGCAACCAGGACAACAGACCAGGACGCTGCAGCAGCAACAGCCTTCGGAGTCGGAGGCGGAAAAGGAGGCAACCCCGATGGAGATGTAAGCTGTAGTTGTGATATTTGTTATTTCCTACGAGTCATTAACGTTACCTACGTCAATATTCTTGCACTGATTTCGCTTTCGTCGTCCAACTTTTTCGATAATAAACAGAATGAAAAAAGCTTCTATTATTACTCTACTGTACATGTATAGTTTAACGAGTACTTTTGCACAGCAGTACGGTTCTTCATTGTTTACGTGGATCGAAACGCTTCCTTACAGCTTCTCGAGACAAATAAACTGTAAGGAAGCGAGCTTTAAATTTACGAAGTTTACTGGTGGATATACGTTTGTAAGAGAAACTAGGTCGTCTGCGACTTTCACAGGGGAATTCAAATACAGTTTTTTTCTGTTTCCTTTTCAAGTTTCGATAGGCATAAATTTAAGTTAAAAGATAGTCTAACCTGTGTCTATATCAACTAGCAGTCGCCATACCGGACAACTTGTGCCTGGATTCACTGGATAAATTTGTGAGGATAAGCATTCTTTCTTCGGAATACAATTTCTTAAATAAATCTATCCGGTCCCCAGAAGCTGCGTCGGAAGCACAAACTGCTTTTCTTGGGCTTCCCTCAGTTCCATTTTTCAACTATTTTTTATTTCTTTTGTTGCCAAATTTGTTGAGAACAACCTCCTACTTGATGAAAAATGGTCTGGCGACTGCTTCAGATCCGAATACTTGTGAACACGCGAAAGTATTGCTCAGTGACTGAATTTGCACAATACACCTCAGGAATTCTCGGTGGCAGTGAGCAATATTTCATATTAGAGCAGTACGCTACCTGCCTTCACGGCCTAACCAAATGACCCACATTTGACCCCCCGTATGTATGCTTATTTAAAAACATACAATACGTGACTTTTTGTTTTCATTTTTCTGTGTTTGTGAGCAAATGCCCGAGCTTTTATGCCTCTCCGGGGCGTCTGAACAATACGCCAAAGACCGAGAATCTTTTTGTCAACAACTCACGAATTTATCATACTCATCCATTGAGAAATACGTTTTAGCAACTAGAATTTCTTTTTTTGCCGGTGACACGAATGTTCACCCAGGTTACATTACGCGTTTCAATCTACACAGTACCGTCGAATTAATCCGGGGTGGGCTGTCCATACTTCTATGAGGCATTCCCAGTATAAACAAAAAGTAAGGTACATCCTTATATAAAAAACTACGATCTGGATTTGATTACGATTTATGTATCAGCCATGAGGTAGTCAGGCTATGTTCCAAAAGCTGGTACGCTTGGTTTCAAAACTTGCAGCTTGCTAAACTTGGTGATACCCACGCGAAACTGCATCTACTTCATGGATCATGCATCGAGCCAAAGACAAACCAAGTTTGTATTTTTTGTCTCCATTACTATCCGGTTCGAATACTTCGCTCCTGGTCGAGTAAATGTTCCCACGTGTAAAAGAGCCCCCAACAAAGGTAGCCTACGATAAGAACATTGTTACGAAACATATCATTTAGAGAACGGCTACTCTTACCGAATCGACCGCTACGTCCTTACGAATAGCACAGACTGTAATGGTACCAGATTTTACAGCAACTTCGCTAATACATTCAATTCGATGCTCTTCTTATCCACTACCGATAGCTTCCGCCACTTCATCGTTGCTTGAAATTCGTTGATTTGGCAAGCCCTTCTAGAATGAGCAATCGCTTCTAGAATGCAGTCGCATCTGACAATCGCACAACTAGATTTTGAGAGTAGGCAAAAATAGTGCTCGGCCGATAAAAATTTATATTGGCCGAGCACTATTTTATGTGTTGTTTTGTTGCTGCTCCGCCAAATTTATTAATTCTAGCTGGTCATAGATTTCTACCGAATATTCTGACCACTTCTAAAATTTTCGAGACCCTTTTTTATCGGCTACGTTGAAGTTGAAGTCCGCTAACTCCGACTGCGTTACCACGTCATTTCTGAATTTGCCATCTACTGCTTACAGCGTGCAAACAAGCAACCAAACGTCAAAACCAAGGCTAACCAAGCCACCGTATACCGCTCAACTACACTACCAACCCGAACTATACCAACTCTCCAGCCATGTTCAGCACGTGGGATCTCGTCCGACCGCGCTTCTGGTACCCCATGTCGTCTCTGGAGCAGTCCATGATGGACCTCGAGCACATGAGCAACCTCATGAGCCGCTCGCGCTTCCCCTTCGACATGGGCAACGAGATGCTGGCGGCGCCCAGCAATGTTGACGACGACGAATTCTTCCGGGATCTGCCTGTGCTTTTGCGCGAGCAGAGACCGACGACGCAGCACCGCGAGGTCGCTACACAGCCGACAGAAAAGGAGACCGATAACGTAGCGCACGACCCGACTCCGACCCGTGATAACGACCCGAACAAACAGACCGTCAAGGCCAAGGTCACCACTAGCACGAAGGCATCGAACAAGAAGCAGAAAGCAGCAGTCCGACAGCTCTGACAGCTCGAATGTCGATGCCGACAGCCAGTACCGCCGCGCCTTCTCGTCCTACACGTTCAGCAACTCGTCCATCGTGGACGACAAGGGCCGGCGCGTGACAAGCTCGCGGCGCCGCTACGAAGACTCGACGGGCCGTCTGAAAGCGGTGCACGAGCGCCAGATCGAGGGCAAGAAGCTGCGCACGACGTGGAACCGCATGCGCCCCGACGACGAGGGTCAGCACGAAGCCATCTGCTCGAGCGGCACGCCCGACGAGTTCGAGACGATGTGGCAGCAGACGCCGTTCGGGGAGGCGCAGAAGAAGACTATCAAGGACCAACAGCGCCAGCAACAGCTGCAACCAGGACAACAGACCAGGACGCTGCAGCAGCAACAGCCTTCGGAGTCGGAGGCGGAAAAGGAGGCAACCCCGATGGAGATGTAAGCTGTAGTTGTGATATTTGTTATTTCCTACGAGTCATTAACGTTACCTACGTCAATATTCTTGCACTGATTTCGCTTTCGTCGTCCAACTTTTTCGATAATAAACAGAATGAAAAAAGCTTCTATTATTACTCTACTGTACATGTATAGTTTAACGAGTACTTTTGCACAGCAGTACGGTTCTTCATTGTTTACGTGGATCGAAACGCTTCCTTACAGCTTCTCGAGACAAATAAACTGTAAGGAAGCGAGCTTTAAATTTACGAAGTTTACTGGTGGATATACGTTTGTAAGTCGTCTGCGACTTTCACAGGGGAATTCAAATACAGTTTTTTTCTGTTTCCTTTTCAAGTTTCGATAGGCATAAATTTAAGTTAAAAGATAGTCTAACCTGTGTCTATATCAACTATCAATTGCCATACCGGACAACTTGTGCCTGGATTCACTGGATAAATTTGTGAGGATAAGCATTCTTTCTTCGGAATACAATTTCTTAAATAAATCTATCCGGTCCCCAGAAGCTGCGTCGGAAGCACAAACTGCTTTTCTTGGGCTTCCCTCAGTTCCATTTTTCAACTATTTTTTATTTCTTTTGTTGCCAAATTTGTTGAGAACAACCTCCTACTTGATGAAAAATGGTCTGGCGACTGCTTCAGATCCGAATACTTGTGAACACGCGAAAGTATTGCTCAGTGACTGAATTTGCACAATACACCTCAGGAATTCTCGGTGGCAGTGAGCAATATTTCATATTAGAGCAGTACGCTACCTGCCTTCACGGCCTAACCAAATGACCCACATTTGACCCCCCGTATGTATGCTTATTTAAAAACATACAATACGTGACTTTTTGTTTTCATTTTTCTGTGTTTGTGAGCAAATGCCCGAGCTTTTATGCCTCTCCGGGGCGTCTGAACAATACGCCAAAGACCGAGAATCTTTTTGTCAACAACTCACGAATTTATCATACTCATCCATTGAGAAATACGTTTTAGCAACTAGAATTTCTTTTTTTGCCGGTGACACGAATGTTCACCCAGGTTACATTACGCGTTTCAATCTACACAGTACCGTCGAATTAATCCGGGGTGGGCTGTCCATACTTCTATGAGGCATTCCCAGTATAAACAAAAAGTAAGGTACATCCTTATATAAAAAACTACGATCTGGATTTGATTACGATTTATGTATCAGCCATGAGGTAGTCAGGCTATGTTCCAAAAGCTGGTACGCTTGGTTTCAAAACTTGCAGCTTGCTAAACTTGGTGATACCCACGCGAAACTGCATCTACTTCATGGATCATGCATCGAGCCAAAGACAAACCAAGTTTGTATTTTTTGTCTCCATTACTATCCTGTTCGAATACTTCGCTCCTGGTCGAGTAAATGTTCCCACGTGTAAAAGAGCCCCCAACAAAGGTAGCCTATGATAAGAACATTCTTACGAAAACTATCATTTAGAGAACGGCTACTCTTACCGAATCGACCGCTACGTCCTTACGAATAGCACAGACTGTAATGGTACCAGATTTTACAGCAACTTCGCTAATACATTCAATTCGATGCTCTTCTTATCCACTACCGATAGCTTCCGCCACTTCATCGTTGCTTGAAATTCGTTGATTTGGCAAGCCCTTCTAGAATGAGCAATCGCTTCTAGAATGCAGTCGCATCTGACAATCGCACATTTAGATTTTGAGAGTAGGCAAAAATAGTGCTCGGCCGATAAAAATTTCTATTGGCCGAGCACTATTTTATGTGTTGTTTTGTTGCTGCTCCGCCAAATTTATTAATTCTAGCTGGTCATAGATTTCTACCGAATATTCTGACCACTTCTAAAATTTTCGAGACCCTTTTTTATCGGCTACGTTGAAGTTGAAGTCCGCTAACTCCGACTGCGTTACCACGTCATTTCTGAATTTGCCATCTACTGCTTACAGCGTGCAAACAAGCAACCAAACGTCAAAACCAAGGCTAACCAAGCCACCGTATACCGCTCAACTACACTACCAACCCGAACTATACCAACTCTCCAGCCATGTTCAGCACGTGGGATCTCGTCCGACCGCGCTTCTGGTACCCCATGTCGTCTCTGGAGCAGTCCATGATGGACCTCGAGCACATGAGCAACCTCATGAGCCGCTCGCGCTTCCCCTTCGACATGGGCAACGAGATGCTGGCGGCGCCCAGCAATGTTGACGACGACGAATTCTTCCGGGATCTGCCTGTGCTTTTGCGCGAGCAGAGACCGACGACGCAGCACCGCGAGGTCGCTACACAGCCGACAGATAAGGAGACCGATAACGTAGCGCACGACCCGACTCCGACCCGTGATAACGACCCGAACAAACAGACCGTCAAGGCCAAGGTCACCACTAGCACGAAGGCATCGAACAAGAAGCAGAAGCAGCAGTCCGACAGCTCTGACAGCTCGAATGTCGATGCCGACAGCCAGTACCGCCGCGCCTTCTCGTCCTACACGTTCAGCAACTCGTCCATCGTGGACGACAAGGGCCAGCGCGTGACAAGCTCGCGGCGCCGCTACGAAGACTCGACGGGCCGTCTGAAAGCGGTGCACGAGCGCCAGATCGAGGGCAAGAAGCTGCGCACGACGTGGAACCGCATGCGCCCCGACGACGAGGGTCAGCACGAAGCCATCTGCTCGAGCGGCACGCCCGACGAGTTCGAGACGATGTGGCAGCAGACGCCGTTCGGGGAGGCGCAGAAGAAGACTATCAAGGACCAACAGCGCCAGCAACAGCTGCAACCAGGACAACAGACCAGGACGCTGCAGCAGCAACAGCCTTCGGAGTCGGAGGCGGAAAAGGAGGCAACCCCGATGGAGATGTAAGCTGTAGTTGTGATTTTTGTTTTTTTCTACGAGTCATTACGTTACCTACGTCAATGTTCTTGCACTGATTTCGCTTTCGTCTTCCAACTTAGCTGGTCGAGACAGATAAACTGTAAGGAAGCGAGCTTTGAATTTACGAAGTTTACTGGTGGATATACGTTTGTAAGAGAAATAAACCAACCTCATAAAAATCTACGATCTGGATTTGGTTACGATAAATTTCCTGGTCATGAGGCATTCAGGCTATGTTCCAAAAGGCTGGTACGCTTGGTTTCCAAACTTCCAGCTTGCTAAACTTGATGATACCCACGCGAAACTGCATCTACTTTATGGATCATGCATCGAGCCAAAGACAAACCAAGTTTGTATTTTTTGTCTCCATTACTATCCTGTTCGAATACTTCGCTCCTGGTCGAGTAAATGTTCCCACGTGTAAAAGAGCCCCCAACAAAGGTAGCCTATGATAAGAACATTCTTACGAAAACTATCATTTAGAGAACGGCTACTCTTACCGAATTGACCGCTACGTCCTTACGAATAGCACAGACTGTAATGGTACCAGATTTTACAGCAACTTCGCTAATACATTCAATTCGATGCTCTTCTTATCCACTACCGATAGCTTCCGCCACTTCATCGTTGCTTGAAATTCGTTGATATGGCAAGCCCTTCTAGAATGAGCAATCGCTTCTAGAATGCAGTCGCATCTGACAATCGCACATCTAGATTTTGAGAGTAGGCAAAAATAGTGCTCGGCCGATAAAAATTTCTATTGGCCGAGCACTATTTTATGTGTTGTTTTGTTGCTGCTCCGCCAAATTTATTAATTCTAGCTGGTCATAGATTTCTACCGAATATTCTGACCACTTCTAAAATTTTCGAGACCCTTTTTTATCGGCTACGTTGAAGTTGAAGTCCGCTAACTCCGACTGCGTTACCACGTCATTTCTGAATTTGCCATCTACTGCTTACAGCGTGCAAACAAGCAACCAAACGTCAAAACCAAGGCTAACCAAGCCACCGTATACCGCTCAACTACACTACCAACCCGAACTATACCAACTCTCCAGCCATGTTCAGCACGTGGGATCTCGTCCGACCGCGCTTCTGGTACCCCATGTCGTCTCTGGAGCAGTCCATGATGGACCTCGAGCACATGAGCAACCTCATGAGCCGCTCGCGCTTCCCCTTCGACATGGGCAACGAGATGCTGGCGGCGCCCAGCAATGTTGACGACGACGAATTCTTCCGGGATCTGCCTGTTTTGGCGCGAGCAGAGACCGTCGACGCAGCACCGCGAGGTCGCTACACAGCCGACAGAAAAGGAGACCGATAACGTAGCGCACGACCCGACTCCGACCCGTGATAACGACCCGAACAAACAGACCGTCAAGGCCAAGGTCACCACTAGCACGAAGGCATCGAACAAGAAGCAGAAGCAGCAGTCCGACAACTCTAACAGCTCGAATGTCGATGCCGACAGCCAGTACCGCCGCGCCTTCTCGTCCTACACGTTCAGCAACTCGTCCATCGTGGACGACAAGGGCCAGCACGTGACAAGCTCGCGGCGCCGCTACGAAGACTCGACGGGCCGTCTGAAAGCGGTGCACGAGCGCCAGATCGAGGGCAAGAAGCTGCGCACGACGTGGAACCGCATGCGCCCCGACGACGAGGGTCAGCACGAAGCCATCTGCTCGAGCGGCACGCCCGACGAGTTCGAGACGATGTGGCAGCAGACGCCGTTCGGGGAGGCGCAGAAGAAGACTATCAAGGACCAACAGCGCCAGCAACAGCTGCAACCAGGACAACAGACCAGGACGCTGCAGCAGCAACAGCCTTCGGAGTCGGAGGCGGAAAAGGAGGCAACCCCGATGGAGATGTAAGCTGTAGTTGTGATATTTGTTTTTTTCTACGAGTCATTACGTTACCTACGTCAATGTTCTTGCACTGATTTCGCTTTCGTCTTCCAACTTAGCTTCTCGAGACACATAAACTGTAAGGAAGCGAGCTTTGAATTTACGAAGTTTACTGGTGGATATACGTTTGTAAGAGAAATAAACCAACCTCATAAAAATCTACGATCTGGATTTGGTTACGATAAATTTCCTGGTCATGAGGCATTCAGGCTATGTTCCAAAAGGCTGGTACGCTTGGTTTCCAAACTTCCAGCTTGCTAAACTTGATGATACCCACGCGAAACTGCATCTACTTCATGGATCATGCATCGAGCCAAAGACAAACCAAGTTTGTATTTTTTGTCTCCATTACTATCCGGTTCGAATACTTCGCTCCTGGTCGAGTAAATGTTCCCACGTGTAAAAGAGCCCCCAACAAAGGTAGCCTACGATAAGAACATTGTTACGAAAACTATCATTTAGAGAACGGCTACTCTTACCGAATTGACCGCTACGTCCTTACGAATAGCACAGACTGTAATGGTACCAGATTTTACAGCAACTTCGCTAATACATTCAATTCGATGCTCTTCTTATCCACTACCGATAGCTTTCCGCCACTTCATCGTTGCTTGAAATTCGTTGATTTGGCAAGCCCTTCTAGAATGAGCAATCGCTTCTAGAATGCAGTCGCATCTGACAATCGCACATCTAGATTTTGAGAGTAGGCAAAAATAGTGCTCGGCCGATAAAAATTTCTATTGGCCGAGCACTATTTTATGTGTTGTTTTGTTGCTGCTCCGCCAAATTTATTAATTCTAGCTGGTCATAGATTTCTACCGAATATTCTGACCACTTCTAAAATTTTCGAGACCCTTTTTTATCGGCTACGTTGAAGTTGAAGTCCGCTAACTCCGACTGCGTTACCACGTCATTTCTGAATTTGCCATCTACTGCTTACAGCGTGCAAACAAGCAACCAAACGTCAAAACCAAGGCTAACCAAGCCACCGTATACCGCTCAACTACACTACCAACCCGAACTATACCAACTCTCCAGCCATGTTCAGCACGTGGGATCTCGTCCGACCGCGCTTCTGGTACCCCATGTCGTCTCTGGAGCAGTCCATGATGGACCTCGAGCACATGAGCAACCTCATGAGCCGCTCGCGCTTCCCCTTCGACATGGGCAACGAGATGCTGGCGGCGCCCAGCAATGTTGACGACGACGAATTCTTCCGGGATCTGCCTGTTTTGGCGCGAGCAGAGACCGACGACGCAGCACCGCGAGGTCGCTACACAGCCGACAGAAAAGGAGACCGATAACGTAGCGCACGACCCGACTCCGACCCGTGATAACGACCCGAACAAACAGACCGTCAAGGCCAAGGTCACCACTAGCACGAAGGCATCGAACAAGAAGCAGAAGCAGCAGTCCGACAGCTCTGACAGCTCGAATGTCGATGCCGACAGCCAGTACCGCCGCGCCTTCTCGTCCTACACGTTCAGCAACTCGTCCATCGTGGACGACAAGGGCCAGCACGTGACAAGCTCGCGGCGCCGCTACGAAGACTCGACGGGCCGTCTGAAAGCGGTGCACGAGCGCCAGATCGAGGGCAAGAAGCTGCGCACGACGTGGAACCGCATGCGCCCCGACGACGAGGGTCAGCACGAAGCCATCTGCTCGAGCGGCACGCCCGACGAGTTCGAGACGATGTGGCAGCAGACGCCGTTCGGGGAGGCGCAGAAGAAGACGATCAAGGACCAACAGCGCCAGCAACAGCTGCAACCAGGACAACAGACCAGGACGCTGCAGCAGCAACAGCCTTCGGAGTCGGAGGCGGAAAAGGAGGCAACCCCGATGGAGATGTAAGCTGTAGTTGTGATATTTGTTTTTTCTACGAGTCATTACGTTACCTACGTCAATGTTCTTGCACTGATTTCGCTTTCGTCTTCCAACTTAGCTTCTCGAGACAGATAAACTGTAAGGAAGCGAGCTTTGAATTTACGAAGTTTACTGGTGGATATACGTTTGTAAGAGAAATAAACCAACCTCATAAAAATCTACGATCTGGATTTGGTTACGATAAATTTCCTGGTCATGAGGCATTCAGGCTATGTTCCAAAAGGCTGGTACGCTTGGTTTCCAAACTTCCAGCTTGCTAAACTTGATGATACCCACGCGAAACTGCATCTACTTTATGGATCATGCATCGAGCCAAAGACAAACCACGTTTGTATTTTTTGTCTCCATTACTATCCGGTTCGAATACTTCGCTCCTGGTCGAGTAAATGTTCCCACGTGTAAAAGAGCCCCCAACAAAGGTAGCCTATGATAAGAACATTCTTACGAAAACTATCATTTAGAGAACGGCTACTCTTACCGAATTGACCGCTACGTCCTTACGAATAGCACAGACTGTAATGGTACCAGATTTTACAGCAACTTCGCTAATACATTCAATTCGATGCTCTTCTTATCCACTACCGATAGCTTTCCGCCACTTCATCGTTGCTTGAAATTCGCTGATTTGGCAAGCCCTTCTAGAATGAGCATCGCTTCTAGAATGCAGTCGCATCTGACAATCGCACATCTAACGGACGCGCCCGAATAAAAGCCCCCTACCGAATAGTGTCCTGTGGGGTGCTACATGCCTGCACTATTAAATACAAGCCTCTCCCGAATAGAGTCCTTATAAAAGCTACCAAATCTGCTATGCTGACCATCCATTCTACAGAGAGAAACACTTTTCCGTCATTTCCAATAATGCCTCATCAAAGGCAGTCGGTTAGCAGTGAGCGTAAGCAAGCGATGATCAAGTGGACTAAAGATGTCGTTTTAAGGACCTATTGTACATGGAAATAACGCTTGGAAAGAGTCAGACCGAGTCGAATGCACTCGCTTTGGTAGCCCACGTATGCCAAGTGCTGACACCGTTTGCGATTGGGGGCTCCGCGCGTGGCGAGACACGGATGAGGGAACAATCATGCGGAGCGCTGAAATAGCAGGCTTCTCGAGAGACCCCTCGTCGTGGTTTATATCCAACACGATGTGATTGGCGCTAAATTTCGTGAAAAGTGGTCGAAGGAACCGCACATGGACGAATACGTCGATCTGTTAAATCCTTTAGGGTTAGATGATGCGTTATACGATATTAAC